ACGCGGACACCTCTAGCCAAGAAGTATGGATCTTCCCACAGACGGCGCCAATTGTTGTGAGATATGTACTTCCTTGCATAGAAATGAGACGAAAAAGAACACAAGCAAACACAGATCGTTTACGTGGTTCGATCCAACTGGATCTACGTCCACGGGAGGGAATCAATCAAATATTTCACTAAGGCAAAAGAAATGGAGAATACATAGCTTATACATAGAGATGAGCCCTCATCTTCCTTCTACGACCTCCCTCTCAAGCGACACCTTGATACAAGGCCTCAAGATGCTCTCCTCCTCTCTAGCTCTCTAGCTATTCTCTCCTCCTTTGTGGTAGCTTAAGATCTCTTCTCCCTTTTTTGTCCTAGGCCTCACACCCTCTCTATTTATAGAAGCAAGAGAGTGGTAGGTGGGAGGTAGGTGGGTGGTAGGTGGCCGGTAGGTGGCCGGTAGGTGAGCGGTAGGTGAGATGTGGTAGGTGACGGTGCCACATTACAAAATTGCCCTTTTACCTTAGTTCATTAATTGGGGGTCAAAATAACATTATTGAAATAAGTTTATTATATGTTTTTGCATTTAGTCTTCTAGTCAAACCAGTCTTGTTAAATATGGTTTAGAATGTTAAAACTCTGTGATGAATATGATTCATATGCATCAAATTTCTTCATTATTGTTTTCAAAATTCATCTTTTAAAAAATCCATGATCTAATTGTTTTGAGCAACCTTCTTATAGTAAAGTGTAGGAAATCAACCCTCATCTACATTAATTTATCTTCATCCTCAAGTTTTCCTTTATTTTTCAAGTTTTTCAATGAATGTACTCTTGTACACTTTTTTACTATTCATTTTCATTGACTTATAAATCATTTTAGCATATTAGTCTACATTGTTATTTGAGTAATTTATCATATTTCATATGCCTAGATAAAGTGTTCTAAATGGCTAAGATAATATTCATTTTTGTCATACAATTCATGCATGGTTAGAATTTATCAAGGAAACATTGTTAGCATTCTTTATGAATACTAGTTCTTAAAACATGTAATCTGACAAACATTAACAAATTTTATGTATAGCTCCTAAAATTGGCGTTGAATATGCTGCAGATACTAAAACACTAAGTAATGCAAAAAAGATTAATTAATTCTATTTTTTAGTTTTATTATTATTTTTTTTTTTCAAAGTTGCCGCTTTGTACATAAAAGACAATTGTTTGATAAGCAATACAGATCCAAAAATCTCATAGGACAAGTTTAGCTAATTTGTTTCTGTAATGGATATATTCCAATCAGAAGCGCCGAAACTACACATCCATTTGGATAAGTAGGAGCACCAAAGCACAGAAGTGAACATGAACGAAACAGTTTCGTGAAAGATTCTAAAAACAGGATCAGGCTTATATTTTCCTTCTAATTAACTCATACAATTGAGCTTGCAATAACAGCCACATCAATCCATTCCAACAAAAAAAAAATCCAAGCTGTTCCCAAACAAATAAGATCTTAATCTCACGGCACTCCAGATTAATCCTTACCGAAACACTGCAATCATCACCCAGCTGACAAATAGTACATTCTAGGCGAAATAAAAAAAAAAAAAACATAAATACTGGTTCAGGTTTGAGTCAAGCCTTACCTTGGCGATTTTGATATCGTCCTCGAGCTCGTGGAACCTATTATTCAGTCTGCCGAACTTGTTGATGTTCAGCTGATCCTCCCATGTTACTTCCACTTCCGATCCAGAACCCTTTTGCTTGTACCGATCAAGAAACCGTGAATTCAACCATCCAGACATCGATTCACAGCAAGATCGTGACATATTTTTAGGGTATCAAGTTTTCTGGTGATTACCTGCTGCATTGCTGAAGCTAATCGTAGTCGCTTCGGTTCTTATCAATATCTTCGTCTGCGTGGTTGCGAAGCTCGCTCACCCTTTCGAAGGCAGCTTGATCAGTAAATAGGAGAAGCCGATTGCGAGTATGGAGGTTAGTTCGGCGAGGGGAGGGGCGGCGGTGGCTCGCCTTATCTAGCCGGCGGCGAGGAGAGCAATGGCTGGACCGGTACTGCTCCTAGGTTTTATAGGCGAATTTTACATACGTATCACAGAATCTTGTATATTTATAAAAATACCTTTTAAGCTTTTATATTTTTATTTAGAGTACTTTTGTATTATAAACTTAATCATGACAATATATATGTAAAAGAATGATCGAAAACTATTATACGAGCCACTAATCACCCTCAAGTGTCTAACTATTCGATGACCACCCTCATTATCGACAAACTGGCGAGAGAGGGATTCAAACGTGACCTGAGAGAACTTACGACCTTCAAAGAAACTGCTCTACCAAAAGCCTCGGACCACACATGACCTGAAAAGACTTACGATCTTGACTTACGACCTTCAAAAAGGCTGCTCTACCGAGTACCAACAGCCTCCGACTATTTTTTTAATATATGTATATATATTCAAAATGAATGATCATAGGCTATCATACGAACCTTCAGCCAGACAGCCACCTTGTATATGCCTAAGAATTCGAGTATCATGTGAAGCGACGTTGCCTTCTCAAAAAAAAAAAAAAAAAAAAAAAAAATCATTTGAAATAATCTTGCTTCCAGTTATTTATGAAATTTTCATAATATTAAAAAAATAAATAATATTTTATTTAAATATTAATGTTTAAAAATTTAAGTGGGTAAGAAAATGATAACTCTCCTCTAACTTATTTCTTTTAAAGGGCATTTACATAAATATCACCTAATTCCAATGTATTTTTATAAATCTAATTTCTAAATTTTATTTTTTACATTTATACCACCCAAAATCTTTCATGTCACATAAAAAATATAACTTTTCATGACATAGGAAAGGTGATGTGTGTGCAAAAAGTGAGCTTAGGTGTTAGATATGTAAATAAATAGGTATTGAGTGGTATATATGTAAATCTTCCTTTTTTCTCCTTCTTTTTTTGAAAAACTGAGATCAAATATGCAGAAGCAAGGAGCTCTGATTATTTACATGCCATCTTATTCTAAGAGAATATTAAAATATTTGAAAATCTCATGCCAAATAAATTCCAACATGCAATTTAAATTAAATTTATTTTTAAATAAATTGATTTAATGTTATTTTATTTTTAAAAATGTAATTCTATTTTATTTAATTATAGTGCTCCAGTCAATTTTAGTTTTGGGACATTCTTATGAAGTGTTTTTGCAAAAATATGAAGTTTTTAGATAATTAAAACAACAAAAATAAATAAACAAATATATATATATATATATATATATATGTCTTCAGACCTCTATTTAAGTACTATTTATTACTATTTTCCCAAGATTTTTATGATGACAAGTACATTTTACAAACCAAATTTGCTAGCTATAAAAATATATTATCAAATTAAGAAAAAAATAGAGGCATTTACATACCACCACCAAATTTCTATGTATTTTACATCATCTAACACCTAAACTTCATTTTTTTTAATATTTGAGAAGTGTCCAAATAATCCTAAATTATTTTTAATTAAGCTATAATAATCCACCATGGAAAAGATTAATATGTTTTGAATAGAGCTATGAATTTTGCTCGATGATCTTTAATCTCTCATAAATTGATTTGAATTTTAACTCGGATTGAGAACTAATTAAAATAAATTATTTGAGGTATGATCCGAAACTTTGGATATGATTTTTTTTCGAGCTGATTTCTATTCATACACAGATAGACTCGAGCTCGGCTTGACTTATGTTTTTATTCATAAAAATTATATATGTGCAAAATAAAATCGAATATGAAGAACTATGAAACAAATCTAAATAACTCAATTTAAACCACCTTGTTCTGATTTCAAGCCAGAACATATCCAAATAACTTAGAATTTGAGCTAGCCCATTTCTATTTCTATTGGGAGGGTACAAAATTTATACCCGCATTGTATCCTGACCCGGCAAGAGTCACGATGCTATTAGAGTGCAGATACATCAAAACTCTGCTCGTAATATTTTTCCTTTCTAGAGGCACTTCAAGCTGGCCGCTGCACCTTGTCTTGAGGTCAGCTCGAAGTAGTTTTTTTTTTTTTTTTTTAATTATATATAATGCTACAAGTCGATGTCTAGCTGAATCGGAGCCAACTTGTTTCAATTGCAAACCGATTCAAGCCAATTTCAAACTGGACCGGATCCAAATAACTCAAATTTGAGCCATCTCATTTCTATTTTGAGCTTGATTCTATTTCGATCCAATCTAACTCAAAATCAAACAAAACGAGCCACGAAAGTATATCAATCCAAACTCAATCTACTCCGGCTGATTTCCATCCAGCTCCAAATCCGATTCTCAACAGCCCTAATTTTGACTGGTGGGTACATAAAAACCCTTTTTTTAAAAATTATTCAAAACATTAAACTAAAACTTGCATAGTCCTAGAAGAGCAAGAGATTCAAAGTTAAATTCTAACAAACAGAACAGAGAAACCTAGGAACATTTTCTTCATTAGCAGAACGATAGAAAAGCAGTTTGGCACTAATCTAATTCTGTCTCTTTCCACCTGAGCTCCTCTCAGGATCCCATCCAGAAGCATCCCAGCTGCCGATCCTCTTCGGAAAGCGCTCCAACCCGGCTGCCGCCCCTTGTCTGGCTGGAGCTCCGGCGAAGCCGGCATGGACGGTCTTCGGCCGGAGAGCCGCCGGGGGTGATTTCAGGAATGCAGGTGTTGAGTCCGTGGTGCGACGGAGGGGCGAAGAACCGGCTGGGGTCGTCCGGCATGGGAGCGGCGGGGGGGGGGTCGGAGTTTCCCTCCGAGGGGCTGCCGGAAAACGGAATGCTAACGGAGGAGATGTCAGACATTGTTGGGAACATTGGACTCATGCCGGTGACTCTCTTCACTGTGTCTTCGGCCATCTTTACCTGTGATACCGAGCAGTTTTACATAAATACCACCTTAGTACCAAAATAATATGGTTATATGGGGTCAATAATAATATTATCAAAATTTGTTGGTTCAAAGCATCATATGGGGTCATATAAAGTTGTTATATTAAAATGTTCACGGTTCGCTCCTAATCCCGTTTTTGCTCCCATCCCGGTTCCCAGTTGGACCAGTTGGACCAGCCGGTCCGGTCCGATTTTCAAAACCAGGAGTAAAAGTATATCATTTGATGCATTTAAATATTTGTTTTTTAATCAACAAATTCTTTTTTTCTAATTACAACCTTGTAAGTGCCTATTAGATGTGAGATTCCTTTGATTGAGGTGTAAATGCAACGGATAATTTCAAAGGGAAGATATCTTTTTGCACCAGCAAGTTTAAACTTTCTATACTTTGATGTCATTTTCTGAATTTATTCTCTTCTAAAATGTTTGTTAGGGATGTTTACAAAAATACCTGGCAATTCTTACATATTTACACAAACACCTAAACTTTGATATTCACATGTAAATCACTCAAATCTTTCATATCACATAAAAATAGGGTCATTTTAACTTTTAAAAAAAAGTGAAATACACCTTTTTCATACATTAGGTTTGTTGTGAAAAACGACGACAATAAAGTGAAAAATGGAACGAGAAAAATTGTACGCAGAAAAACACCAGAGCGACACACTGATTTACGTGGTTTGACAAAATTTTTCTACGTCCACGGAGCTGCAGAGGATTTTATTTCTTCGAGGAATTACACCGTCAAGCGCCTCGACGTTTACAAGAAAATTTATATTTTCTTATCTCAATTCCTCTCTCTCTCTCTCTCTCTCTCTCTCTCTCTTAGAGGACTTGGTTTGGTCTTGCTTGAGTTTTTTGCTTGGCTTGTGACAAGCTATAAGAGTTTATTTATAGAAACTAAGAGAGCGGTAGGTGGGAGGTAGTTGAGCGGTAGGTGGGAGATAGTTGAGCGGTAAATGAGTGTGGTAGTTGAGCGGTAGGTGGGAAGATAGGTAATCGGTAGGTGAGAATCTTAATTAGGAAGTTAATTAAATTGCGGTGGACCGAGTCTCCACATTACCCAACAATTCTCCCACTTGGAGACTGGGACACTGACTGCATCACCTACTGGTCGCATCATCTACTAGCTGTACCGACCTTTTCCTCAAACATGATATCCTTCACTTCTGCAACTCAAAACACTGTCTTCATGTCAGAAGACTAGCTAAAGTCAAGCACAACTTCACCTTCTCACAAGTAACACCCTCAGTTGACATATCACCGTCAACGTACCTTGTACCACCAAGCTCTTTCTTGGGTTATGGGTTACTCTTGTATCCTTGTATCTGCTTACAACTCTCACCGCATGAGCAATATCCTGCCCCTGCTGAAAGCCCTTTTCAACAAGTCCAGTCTTGTACCTCTTACTGCCACCAAACGTCGTCTTCACCCGGTACACTCACTTGTTGTGCAATGACTTCTTTCTTAGTAGAAGTTTTGTCAGGTCCCAAGTCTGATTCCCTGGTAGAGAATCCGTCTCCTCCTTGATCAGCTCCCACTTACTCGAATTTTCATCTTACAAGATTTCTTTATAGCTTTGTGGTTCTCCGTCATTTGTCTGTACAAGGTCTAATTTTCCTGCCTTTGACACTGCCACTTTTCAGGAAATTGACATTCTTCTGCTTCCTCATAATGTACCTCTGACTCATGTGTCCTCGCCTGAGTAAATTTGTAGTCATAGTCATATATAGTGTGTTGTTAGTTTTCTTACCCCGAGCAAGTACTAATGCTCCTTTGGTAGCCTTCCAGGTGCTAATTGAGAACACTACTGAATGACCACCCTCATTGAGCTGCCCAATAAAGATGAGGTTTTTCTTCAACTCAGGAATGTATCTGACTTTTGCAAAGTACATTTGCTCTGCAATATCAACGTCTCCCATCCCCACCACGTCCAGAGCTTTTCCATCAGCCAGATATATCTTCCCAAAGTTATCTGCAACATAATTTCACATTAAATCCCAACAGGAAGATGTACGGAAGGAAGCTTTGAATCCAATATTCAGTCATCAACAGAACTGTAAACTGTCAGCAATAGCGCATACTGTATTTCTTCAGATACAACATTAATGTCATCATCCCCCTTCTTCTTAAGATTCTTGCAGTTACTTTTTATGTGGCCAACCTTGCCACAATTCCAGCAGGTTACCTGCTGACTAGACTTTGATTTTGATCTTCCTCTGTTTGAGTTTCTATCATGTGATCTCTCTCTGGAATCAGCATTCAGTGCCGAACTTGAACACGAAGTCTCGTCAAAATCCTTCTTGCGCACTTCCTCAGTCAAAATCAAATCACAAATATCATTATATTTCAGTTTGAATTTACCTGCAGAACTGCTAACTGCCATCCTTATGGTTTCTCAGCTATTTGACAATGTGCTAATAAAATCAGCGCATGTATCTCATCATCAAAATCAATTTCAACAGATGCAATTGATTGTGATATTATTAAAATCAATCAGGTGTTGAGCAACAACGACACCTTCCGCCATCTTCAAGTTGAATAACTTTTTCATCAAATGCACCTTGTAATTCACCGATGGTTTTCATACATACCTGATAAAGTTGTCATGAGATATACAGTAGTCCTCCTTTGATGACGTTGTAAGCAACCGATCTCAACAGGGTTAATCGAATAACCTCCAGAATCTATCGATCCAACAGGTTTCATTCCACCCCGTCCATCTTTCTTGGTCGTTTTCACATTAACGGAAGATAAAATTTCTTCCCATAGAGGTATTCCTCTATCTGCATTCTCCAGTAAGCATAATCTGTGTCATTAAACTCTGATGTCATCACTTCGTCTCCGCCCATCGTTCTTCCTTAGATTCGAACCAAAGTTCTGATACCAGTTATTGTGAAAAATAACGACAATAAAATGAAAAATGGAACGAGAAAAATTGCACGCAAAAAAACACCAGAGCGACACACAAATTTATGTGGTTTAGCAAATTTGCCTACGTCCACAGACCTGCAAAGGATTTTATTTCTTCGATGAATTACACAATCGAGCGTCTCAACGTTTACAAGAAAATATCTATTTTCTTCTCTCCCTTCCTTTCTCTCTCTCTCTCTTCCTCTCTTTCTCTCTTAGAGTACTTGGCTTCGTCTTGCTTGGCTTTTTAGCTTAGCTTATCACAAGCCATAAGAGGCTATTTATAGAAACCATGAGAGCGGTAGGTGGGAGGTAAGTGGGTGTAGTAGGTGAGCGGTAGGTGAGATTCTTAATTAGAAAGCTAATTAAATTGCGGTGAACCGGATCTCCACATTACCCAACAAGGTTAGATGGCATGTATGTAAAAATTGAAATTTAGGTGTTTGATATGTTAATACATAAGAATTAAGTGGTATGCATGCAAGTTTCTTTTATCTAATTACAACATTGTAGGTGCCTATTGGATTTGAGATTAAAATGGGGTGTACACGCATAGACAATTTCATAGTGAAGATATCTTTTTGCAATAGCAAGTTTAAACTTTCTATATTTTCATGACATTTTTCTAAATTTATTCTCTTCTAAAATATTTGTTAGGGGGTATTTACATACATACCACAGAACTCTTACATATATACAGATCTAACACCTAGCAAGATATTGATACTTACAAGCAAATCACTCAAATCTTTCTTATCACATCAGAACTACCACCATTTTAATTTAAATGAAAGGGATTATTAGACTCAAACCACCCCCAAAACATTGATATTTGCAAACTAACCACCCAGGTGATTTTTTTGAACTACCGAACTGATGTATTTACATGTGTCATGATCTAACTATTGAGAATTTGAAAAAAAAAAAAAAAAAGGTTGGGGTTTTCCATGAATTTTGATATTTGAGCGACATTTTGAAAAATGGATGAAAGAGGGTGGGTGATTTGTAAAAAACAAGTTTTGGGTCTTTTGTATGTAATTGCCCAAAAAAAAGTACATTTTCATGCATAAGTTAGGTGGCATGTATGTAAAAATTGAAGTTTAGGTATTTGCTACGTGAATATATAATATTTAGTGGCATGTACGTAAATTTTGAAAAAAAAAAAAAAAAAACAAGAAATGATAATACCGCAAATGAAACAAACTCAATGTACTATAGTAAAGTTTTACCTTAGCTCTCAAGGTCTCAACATCTGCTTTAAGGATTCTATTGTCCACAGCAGCCTCATTGTACTTCTGGTTTACATCAGTGAGACGCTTCATTAGAGTTGAGTTTTCAACTCTTAATTGTGAAACCTATGGAGTAACTTTAAGTTAATGAAACATAATTATTTAATAGAAAATGAGAAATCGCAAGATTTTTTAAGAAAAGAGTAAATTGTAAAAATAGCCGCCCGACTATTTACATGACAATGTCATTTTAGTCCTAGAGTTTATAAAAATGCTAAGTTAGTCCATAGGTCTAATAGAGATTAAAATAGTTTAACTTGAAATTATTTCAACTCATATTAAAAGATTGCAAATTTTAGATGCAGCACGCAATTCTTTTGGATTGACATATCTCGCACCTAAACTTTCACATTTACACGCACAACACTTTACCTATGCATGAAAAAGGTGGATTTCACTATTAAGAGGTGATAATTAGTCCTATTTTTGATGTGATATGAAAGAACTGGGTGATAAGCATGTAAAAATAAAATTTTGGTGTGAGAAACGTGAATCCATATAAATTGTGTGCTATGTATGTAAATGCCCCTAAAAGATTTTGGGGACTGGACATTGCATAGAGTTAAAGGATTATTTTGACACTTTTTTCATTAAAAAAGCAATAATAATTAAATTTTATTACTGAAATTACCTTGACAAAGAGTTATGAGATTATTTTGACAATTTTCTCATTAAAAAATAATAATAACTAAATTTTATTAAATCAAACCTGTGATTCAAGCTCACTTAAATGCGCTTGTTTTCTTCTTCGAGAGCGCCTCGCAGACTCGCGATTTGAAAGCATCCTGATAAGAACAAAGCTAACAGGTCAGTGCCAAAAAGCCAAGAAAACAAATCTGTTTGCAAACTACAGTAATTCTTTCCATAAACGCTACAATCTAACAAGTGCAAAAAAGAGTGCATAAATGCAGAAATATGAAAATACAAGAAAATTTATATACATGCAGTTCTTATGTATTTATATATCTAACAACTCAGCTTTCATCTTTACATTTATAGCACTTAGTTATCATAAACCTATGTATGAAATTGTGTATTTCATTTTTAAAAGGTACGTAACTGCGGTATTTTTTATGTGATATTAATGATTTAAGTGCTATAAATGTATCTATAAAAGTCTAGGTGTTCGACATGGAAATACACAAATTGTGTGGTATGTATGTAAATGCCCCAAAAATTTAATATAGGTGCCACAATAAGCTGTATATATGTTAAAATATCACCATATCTAACAACAAAATTTCCCTTTTTACATTTGTACTGCCCAAATCTTTCATATCACATAAAAAAATGCCACCATTTTAACAAATAAAAAGGTAGATAAACCTTTCATGAATAAGAGAAAGTGGCATGTATGTAAAAATTGAAGCTTAGGTTTTAGATATGTAAATACATAAGAATTAAGTGGAATGCATGTAAATCTACCAAAAAATTAATATAGGCGCCACAACAAGCTGTGCATATGTTAAAATTGCACCAAAATTCTCACATTGATACACCAACCAGCTGAATAAGAAACATGTTACAGGAGAGCATGAAAATTAGTAAAATCCATGGAGCACTTCAAAACATAACACATAAGGAGCATGCAAAGCAAAAAGTTATCTGTGTCTGTAATAGACACATGACAACATCACTGAAATGCAAAACCATACATATATTACAACTACTCTTGTTTAATATTCCAGGAATAAATTGTCAAAATGATCCCTTGACTCTTCGTAACGAGTCATTTTAGTCTGAGAATTTATAAAATTGTCAATTTAGTCCCTATACTTTTTAAGCATGGGTTGAAATGATCCCTAATGAGGACTATTTTAAGCCTTTTTATAAAATTCCAGAGACTAATTTAACAAGTGTAGTCCCCAACTACTCTTGTTTAATATTGTCATAAAGAAATTGTCAAAATGATCCCTTAACTCTTCGTAAGAAGTCATTTTAATCCCAAAGCTTACAAAAAATATATATTAAGTCCCTATACTTTTTTAACGCGAGTTAAAATAGTCCTCATTGAAGTAGTCCCCAATGAGGATAATTTTAGCCCCTCCTATAAAATTCTGGAGACAAATTTAATAATTTTATAAACTCTAGGCCTAAAATGGCTTTATGTAAAGACCTAGAGGACTATTTTGACACTTTACTCATATTTCCAACCTAAAGTAAATAATTATGTTTATTGAGCAGAATTTTAAAAAGGGATAATTACAAGCATAGCACTCAAAACATTGCTATTTACAAAATCTAGCACCCAAGTGATATTTTTGAACAACTGAACTGATGTATTTATGCGTGCCACGATCAAACAATTGAGAATTTGATAAAAAAGAAAAATATGGGTTGGGGTTTTATTATTAATTTTGACATCGGAGTGAGAATTTGAAAAATGGATGAAAGACAATGCTAGATTTGTAAATAACAATGTTTCGGGTGCTAAAACGGTTGTACCCTCCTTTCATTATGTAAAAGTGAGATTACATAACTATCATCTTCTCCAAGCCAAATTTTATGATGTTCTTTATTCCTCAAAACGGAAAATGTGAATGTTCTCATCAAAGATAGGTTGTATTTATATGCATTAAAAACTTGAACAAAAATTGGAATCAATAAAATGCAAATGACGAATTTACCTCCTAAACCGCTTTGCATCAGAAGGGTCCATATTTTCTGCTGTTTCTGCTTCTCCATCAAACTCATCATCATCAGACTGCTCTCTTGAAGATCCACTAGTCCCCGTCCTACCTTGAGAAAAGCCTGAATTCTGTTTAAGGGGCATGGCGGGAGCTACCGCCGTCCCAATACCTGCATTAATAACTCAGCAACAGACCCTACTAAAACAAAGGCAAGAAAATAAAGAGCATCTGCCAGCTTAAGGTATCAGGAAAAAAGGTAAAAGCATAAAAATTTAATAAACTAAAGCGAGCATGGCAAATGAAGAAAGCCGTAAGAGAGCTAAATTATTATAAAAAAGAAGATTTACATACATACCTCCCAGTTTTTAGGCATATCTAACTTCAATTTTTAGACACATAACACGTTTACTTATAAATGCATGGAAATGTGTATTTCACTTTTTAAAGGTTAAAATGATGGCATTTTTTATGTGATATCAAACATTTGGGTGGTATAATGTAAAAAACAAAGTTAAGGTGTTAAGACATGTAGATTCATATATGATGGATTGAGTGATATGTATGTTTAAAAAAAAGGTTTAATTTAGTTCAGTTAACAAACTTCTACATGTATACTCCAAATTAGACCTTGAGCCACACACGACTTGCCATCTCTCTCTCTCCCCCTCTCACTTGCCCTTAAACATCTGTATTTACCGCCCTATCCTAAGTTCAATCTTGCATTTCCCAGTATTTCTCGATACCTATATCAGGCCATCTTCCTTTCACACGACCACTCTCCCTCACTCTAAGCTCTCCCATGGCAGCCCTTATTCGCCTGCACCTCCACTGCTCGATGCCTCTCCCACTCACTCTCTGCACCATAAGGTCTAGGGATTCACCTCCCACGTGCTAATCTTTCCAGATCTGGTGTGCTCAACGCCATTCACAAAGAACCTTCTACATCAAACCGCACACATTTATTTCTTGGAAGAATTACATACATTCCATTCAATTCTCATGTATTTACATATCTAATACTTCAACTTCTACATATATGCCACCTTACCTATGCATGACAAGGTGTATTTCACTTTTTAAAAGTTAAAATAGTGGCAGTTTTGATGTGATGTGACAGATTTGGATGGTATAATTTTAAAAAACAAATTTTAGCTGTTAGATATGTGAATACATAGAAATTGGGAGGTATGCATGTAAATGCCCCTTATTTCTTGCCAAAGATGTTTGAAGCATTGTCAGCCGATGCTTGATATTAGGTTAATATGTCCATGTTGTTAAGAGTGTCAACGCCCGTCGACCGGGGGTGACAAAAGAACCAGTCCATCCTTCCTGTTGGATCAGGACTAGTGTATTCGTACTTAAGGCGCGCGATTCCCCGATCAACTCCTTCATGTGCCCTATTCTTCCACCAGCCTCCTAGCCATTGCAATCTAGCCTCCATCGCCCCCTTCAATCTCTGCCATTCCCCCTCCGACCACTGCAGGTCACCCCGACGATCGTCCAACCGCTGCTGACTCTTCCCAACCTCCTCAGTGACTTCTCAGCCGCCCTCTAACGATGTCCAGGATTGTTCCTGCCCTTTTGTAGTACTTCTTTTATTATTTGTTAAGTAGTTACTTCTTATATTATCGTTCTCATGTTTGTGTTGTCTTTCGTCCAAGAATTCATGTAGTACTTCCTTCGAAATCAGCAATAAAATTGTGTCGTTTGCGTCGTGATTTGGGTTAATTTTGGTATCACTATCCTGAAAAGTGTGCCAATCTATCAAGCCATTCATATAAACATCTCAAATGTTAGCAAATATTAAATATCCATGCTTACTCCTGTTATTGCATCGAGATACAGAAAGCATATTAATAATCCCAAGGCCACAAATTATAGATACATATAATATGTAAATCTGGATGATCGCTCCCAGTTGATTTCAAGATCCTGAGAAATCATCTCAATATGTATGTAAAGATATGCACTATATCAAAAATTAAATCTCATTATGTTTCCTATCTATTATAGGGTGAGGTCATACCAGTTACTTTGATTCCAAAAAGAAGTATGCCATAATTCAAACATGAATGAAAAAAAAAAAAACTAGATCATAAGCCCCAACTGAATTAATTTATAAGTCCGCATAAAATCAACAAATCCCTTTAAATCAACCAAATCAATAAGATGCATAATCTATAGGGTAAAGCCCATAAGACTGATTATTGGGCTTTCCTGAAGTAGTAATCTTTTCTTCGACCTTCCAATGGATGTACAACCAGCTTGATAAATTTGGGTTGGCAAATCCAAGAAATCTATTACATCAAAAGATAAGTCATCCAATGAATGTAAGCCACGTCTTAACCTAATTAATCTAGTTGGCAAAAAGCCATTAAGAACAAAAAACTACACCTAAATCAATCAATCCACCTGACATATTAGGTGAAGCTATAAAACCCATTTGATGGCTTTCTTTATCCTTGAAGTTGCAAGTCCCACTTATTACTTTTCAATGAATATAAGCCTCAACCTAAACTATATTAAAATACTATAGGGCAAGGCAATAGAACAAATATTGAATTTAAGAAATCCACAAGATGGTAAGTCCCATTTACGGAGGCTTGCCAATAAATGTATGTCTCATCATGGTCAATTTATACTGACATAAAGCAAACAAACATATTAAATTAATGATTGGGTTTTTTAAGCGAAGTAAATCCCAAACCAACTTAAATTTAGGCAAAGCCCTAATGCTAAAAAGTCCATCAATTAAAAGCAAATCCACCAATTGAAATCATACAAACTAAATATCCAATTTATCGCTTAAGGCATGCTTCTTTGTGTCAAGCTAAAACTTATATTATAAAAAACTGAAGGGTGCACTATACATTTTAAGCCATGTTTTATGCCCCTGAACTATTATATAAAAATTGGTATAACAAATCCCTTGTCTATAGACAATACAATTTCAATCTAATAAGCACATCTTTGATGCACTAGGATTTCTACTAAAAGAAGACAATCCTTCGGAAAATATAACTTATACTCAATGGGCTCCAAGAAAAGTCCTACTAGGCTCTTCTTATTATTCTAGAAGTTTTGGATTAAAATTTTTTAAAGGCAGATTGGATATCCAGATGAGACACTACACATAGATTTTGCGCTTTAACTAGGAATTTATGATATGAATTGAGAGTTCTTTAAAAGCACAAACCCCCAATCACAAGAGAGCACTTTTTAACAAGATTATTTTGTACGCTCTATGATGCATTTGCTTATTAGAAGCTATTTGGATTTTGAAAAAGATATGTCGCTCTTTACCTAAATTGGATGATGGGGAGATGACAAACACAATCAGAATTTATTATTATATCATCACAACTTGTCATGAAACTAAATTTACATAGTCAAAGTAATTAGCGGAATCTGACAAAATAATACTTATTAACAGCCATATGAGGTGAAAGTTTGTTGTTTAGACTAATTTTAAGCCAAATTTAGCTAACATGGGGATTCTTGCACTATCAAATGTGTCTTATAGCATATGATCCATAGGCTTCATTTATGAACATCCAGGCTTAGCATTTGACCATAATATCAATGTTATCACACTAACCACCCAAACAGGATACACGTGCCATCTTTATTCGCATGAGATTATTATGTGCAATCATATGAATACATTTAATAAGATGATAATTCTTTGTGAGTATTGATCAAGCTTAAATTTTTCATTCATGAAAAGCTAGCTCGCATGATGAATAAATGACTAAAGTATGATACATACATACATATATAGTTCCCCTCAATTCTAATTTTATTTTGAAAACACCCATCATCAAAAAGAGCCCAAAAGATTAGTCTTAGAATTTAAGGGATTTTTATGATAAGATCTCGTTTGGTTATAAAATTATAATAATTATACCCATCATTGATGAAGAAACTTAATGCATTTGTTTTAATAGTTAGAGCTTAATTTTGACAATGAACTCATCTAGTTATGACTTCCTACTGAGTGAACCCATCATAAGATGGGTTTTACTTGATATCTGCAAGTGCAAGTAGGATCCCTAAGCTTAAACTAGCATCACGTTGTAGAGGACAAAAGGCTTAGCCTTAATAGCGTACTTTTGACTAAAGCTTCAGATCCCACTAGTAAAGAATCTGGCAATTGTTGCCTGCTGTCAGATGTGGAAGAATCATGAAGCACTGCGCCAGAACCCTGTCAAAAGAACACAAATTACAGCACAGCTCACAATCCCCACGCTAACCAAAATAACAAACAGGAAATGCGTGGAAGATGATATAAGAAAAAAAGGGAAAGAAACTTGCGGTAACAGAATCGAATTGTATGCAAGTGATGGAAAATTGAAAATCTACACCTGCCAAAAACTGAAAACGTGTGAATACGCAAACAAGTTGATGATAAGCAGTGTTTTTTATTAGCTATAATTGCTCTTTCATCATGTACTTTTCAAATTGCATTAGTTTATTCGAAGATATACAAATACCACCTTCCCTATGCATGCAAAGGTGTATTTCACTTTTTAAAAGTTAAAATGGTGGTCTTTTTTATGTGATATCAAATGTTTGAGTGGCATAAATGTAAAAAGTAAATTTTTGGTGTTAGATAAGTAAATACATAAGAATTGGATGGTATACATGTAAATAGCCCTTTAGGGTGATTCCTATAGAGATCAAATTATGTTCTCAAATATCAATGTTTGTTCAGTTTCGTTCCTAGTGCTTGTTTGAGTTGTTTCAGTCCCTGGGTCCTTAGGTTCATGTTAGTTATTTGGTCTGTCGGCTTTCGAGTAGAGAACAGAAGTGTTGACTAATAAATTCTATGAGAAGCTGTGTAGCTGCATGAGGCATATATTAATATTTCAGTGATTTCTTTCCCTGACCTCTGTTTTTCCAGATTTTGGTGATTAACTTAAGTGTATGATTGAATTTCATCAAATCTTGTATAATCTAGAATCCTAATTGTAGTGCAAGTAATCGAAGCATGGTTTCTTATGATCCAAATAATTCATAGTATTTCAAATTGGATGACCAATAAATTATCATTTGGGATAATTTTTTTTATTCTTAAGACATTCATCATCAGCATGCAACTTGTTTCAAATAAATTTTGTTTCTCAGGCTTAACAAATAAAACAAACTGTTACAGTAAGGTGGCAACGGCAAATACTGTTTCTGGCAATTATGATAAATTCAAATAAAAGAATAACAGCCTAAGAGATCAAAATTCAAAAACAAGAGAAGAATATGGCTATGTAGCCAATAACAAAAGAACCTAGTGTTTTTTCAAATGGAGGCAGCAGATTCCGCTGATGGATATCCAATCAAGGGAGCTAGAGTTCACAATTCAAGGAGATAAAAATGTAAATAAGGAGACTGATGTAAAAAATATGTCAACGCCATTTGACACAAGATGATAAATTAGCCTTTTATAAATTCTGCCTTAAAAATATATAACTAGTCCCTTTACAATGGAATTTAGGATTTTACCAAAGATTATTAGCTGGCGAGCCTGCTACTCGTCTCCAACCTATTTTCATATATTATTTGTAAACACAGTTCAATAAATTATGCCAAATGACTTCTACTTCTTAGTATTATAAAAACCATATAACAAGTGATTTCAGTGAAACTTAAAAAAGTGTGAAGTCCATGGAGGATAATCAAACCACCCACATCTTTTTTATTTTTTAAGCCAAAGCCAAGATGATGAATTTTTTATGCAAGTGCTCCAAAATTTCTTACAATAAAAAATATTGCGCCCTAGCACTCATTCTCCTCTTTTGTCCTATTTGCATTGTCGAACAAAAAGCATGCCTCGCCGTACCTTTTGCACATCATCACCTCCATCGACGCACCATTCGCACATCGACGACGTTGTCAATGCCCTTGTCATTAATTGCTTTTCGCATTTGCGCCTCTAGTGTTCGCCGTCTTTACTAGATTATAAAGCTAAGGAGTCTGATGCTACTCTTCCATTGAGATTTCCAGACACCCAACCAATATTCTTAACTTGATGAAGCTTGAGTTGAAATCTGCTTTTCTTTCTCTTTGCCTTTTTATCATTTTCTATATTTAATAGTGGATGAAGTTTAATTAGCATTCCATCAGGTGCAAATTTCACTATTGGTAGCAGGTAGAATGTGTATTTTAAAATATTTAATTTTTGCTGTTTTTATAAATAAAAATTGGAATTATTCGGTTCTATATTGAGGAAGTTTATAAAGTTTAAAATATTTGAATTCTCAAAAACATGAAAAGATGAGTATTTCAAACATTTATGCATGGATAGCTGCAGCACAGTACTTTAAAAACCGAAAATCAAAACAACAAAATTATTTCTAAAACAGCAAATTTTTAACATCAACTTTTGAACTAAGATTTCATACCGTTACAGTTATCCCAAACGCACCCTAAGAATTTTAATATGCAATAACAATACGTAGCATATCTTGCAACTTCAACACGTGAAGGGATCATAGTTGGGCAAGAAAAGTCTCATAATTCACGAGAAATGATTGTTTAAACTTTGTATTGTAGGGGCATTTACATACATAGCACTCAATTCCTGTGTATTTACATATCTAACATCTAAATTTCACTTTTTACATTTAGACCACCCAAACGTTCATATCACGTAAAAAATGCCATTATTTTAACTTTTAAAAAATAAAATGTACCTTTAAATATGTAGATCAGGTGGTATATATAAAAATTGAAGTTTAGTTGTTAGATATGTAAAAATGTAGGAATTGAGTGGTATGGACGTAAATCTCCCTTTATTATATTTCGAAAGCAACTTTTTTCTTGATAACTGTCGGCCGTTATTTTAATTTTCTGGTTTTCGAAAAGAGATAATTTTTGTAAACATGAAAATAATTTTAAATATAAATATGTGATTTTGATTTTTGAAAGTAACATTTTTAATTTTTGAAAAGAGATTAGACTAAACGGGTCTCACATATTAAATAGTTTGGATGACTGAACGCAATACCACAAGTAACATACTTATCCCGAAGAATAAACATATCACTTATAGTAAGCTCAATCACCTAAACCAAAGAATTTGTGATATCTGTTTGGTCTGAAAAATATTTATATGAGTCCAACAAGTTCTCCTACCTAATATAAGGATTATATAGAGTTTATTTTACCTGGGTTTCAAGTTCTCTATAAAGACAAACCCCTATAGTTAATTACATCTCAAATGACCGGAATCACTTCAGAAAACTCTCGATTAAGATCAATGATTCTGTCTTTGAGATTTCAAAGTTTAGGTTTTCACGATTCGACATGGGATTCGAAATGGGAAAATCAAAGGGGAGTGGCTCAAACAGAAACAGTTATTTTAAGGAATCCAAAGGAATGAGGAGTAGGGAATATCACAGATCCGAGAAAAACCTCGGTGACCTCCCAACTATCATATTGTTTGGCTTTATATCTTTGAAATGATGTTGTTTAATGTTTAATCTTAATGTTTAATCCTGCAATTCTTAGAATTTAGGACTTATGTTCGCACGATATCTGATCGTGCAAATAACCTAAAAAAAGATAGGAGGATTTACACCGTACCATACGGTAACCTCGGAATCCTAAAGTGTTAAAACTTATAATTGCACAACAGAGTTATGCAAAAGCCTAAAAGTGATATGTGAGAGTTTACGATGCGCTAGGCAAACCACCTCGAAATCTTATGGGTTGTTATTTAAACTAAGGAAATTGCTTAGTGATATGAATTTGTTTTGACGTTGCTCTTCTGAATGTCTTCGTCGTGTTGCTCACGGTATTCGCTCCAAGCTCCTCGTCGTAACACCTCCGGATTCGATGTTAATTTTAAAGGTATATGCAATTGTTTAATCAACGCTCTGTTGTCGGGCACCTCCTATAAAACCAACTACTGGTCTCCTATTCTAAGATATAGTGCGTAAAAGTAGCAGTAACAGGTAGAAGTATAGTAACAGAACCTTTAAGAAATGAACTAGCACGAATTACATTAACAAAAAAAATACCACTTAGAAAACTCAAGAAAGAGCGGCAAATGACCAACGACGAAAGAATATTCGAGAAAATCGACATATGACTCGCGATGGAAATCTCAAAGTAAAAACGACAAATAATAGCTCAAAGAAAGTCACAAAAAACACGAGAAAATCCCGTGTTAAAGACCACGAGTGTTTTACCAAAAGTTTCGATAAAATCCCACGAAAAATTCGAAGAAAGAAAACCGCAATCACTCGGGTCGGGGCTAGGCTCATATACTATTTATTTGTACTCGAGGGACGTCGAAGACTACTATCAGTCACCCGAATGTATAAAGTCCACCACTCAACTAGAAGGGTGTCATACTAAACCTAACTTAGGAGTGTACTCCTTAGCCCGATACTGGTAATCAACAAAATGAACAATCAAGTTATAATATATTTAAAATTTATATTTTAGCATGCAAATGGATTTCAGACATACAAAAGAAAGTATTAATTTCATAGTAAATTTTTTTTTATAAATATTGTATTTGTTCTTATCATATTCTGTTCTTATCAGTTTTGAAAAGTTATAATTGTCCACGAGTTGATCACGTAGTCGGGCGTAGGACCACCAACAACCTAAGAAGGTACGGGTCTCCCACTAGTCTTGTGTCGGTGAATGATATTGTCATCCTACAGCTTATCAGATCTCAACATTGGGTCATGATGTCGTAGAATGAAATATCATTATGCTCTACTTCCGGCGTGCCTTTGTCATCATCGCCCTAAACCCAAAGACAAAACCGACATACTTGTGACCTTGCTTGATAGTTTCATGTATAGCAAAAGACTATATATGGACATTTATGTGTCAGACATAAGCACTGAAAAATCGAACTAAGAAGCAAGAAAAAAAAAAGAAAAAAAATGGTGATGAGAGAGGAGGAATTGATTTACCCAAAAGATCGAGAGAATGAAGGGTGGACCAATCCTCAAAACTGTGATAAAAAGACCTGAAAAAGAAAGCCCAAGATTCTTGAATCAATCTAAGAACGATATCATTTTCTCAAATTTTATAATTGGATCAACCCAAGAAGAGTATTCCCTCCAAATTTTGTTTGGGCCCAAAACTAATGTGACAATTGTACCGACGGCTCCACCACCAATATGTACTCACACCCAAGCCTGAACCCAAGTGCGGTATTTATGTTAGCCAAGTTTTAATGTCAAATTT